AATCACAGCTATTTGCAAATAAGACTCTCCTTCCCTCACTGCTCAAGTGCTGTCTGTATTCACTTCTGTTTTTGACCCTTATGAATTTCACACAATTCTTTAAACTGAAATTACTCAGCCCTTGATGTCACTTTTAGTTCAGATGTGGTATGAGGCCTTTGTTCTGGGCTTCCATCCTTGCTCTGGTAAAAGTGAGGGCTGGAATCATTGATAAAGGTATATGTGAAGTACTTTAATACTTGTATGCTAAATTAACGCATCATTCCTATAACAAGGCTGGGAAGGATGCTAACTGGAGTATCCTAAGGGGTCTACATTTTGACTCTTTATCTTTACTGCTGATTGTCAGTGGGATCCCTACTTCTGCCAGTATTAAAGCTGAACCAGGGCCAGCTGTCCAAGGATGTGAAAACATTATAGGTGGTGTTCAGACCTATGCCTGTCTTGCCTTTCTCATAGTTCCCTGATGAATGATAGTTTTAAACATAGACACATAGCTACATTATCTCACTATGTTAACAAATCAAACTATCTTAATTTATCCATGTTCCCTTGTAGTCTTTGCTTATGCTATACACACACACACACACACACACACACACACACACACACGTTTATGTTGTAATCAGAAGTGTGTGTGTGTCTTCTTTATTTCGAGTTGAAGTGTACAAGTCGTATGTATTTGGGTCAATGAATTTTCACAAAAATTAAAAATGAAACTTACATCCATGTAATCAACACCCAGATAAAAAACAGAACATTCCTAAGACCTGGAAAGTCCTCATACCCACTTCCAGTTACAACTGATCCCTTACTCATCCCACCCTGACTCAGAATAACCACTGTCCTGACTTCACACAGCGTAGATTCCTTTTACCTGGCTCTTGTCATCCACAACCTATTTACTTGTTTACTCACTCCTACAGTATTCATTAAGTGACTTCAGAATTGATAACTCACACCATTTTGAAACAGATCTAACCAGAGTTCAGTATTTGTTTATACCACGCCTACTTGATTCTTTTTATTAAATAATTCTTAAATTCATCTATTTCTGTCTCCATCTCTACTATAACCTTAGGCCATGCCTTATTTCTTCCCTGAGTATTAAACCTCTCTTTAAAAAAAGAATTTATCATTCTGTATTGTATGGTAATAAAATACTATGCTTTTGCCTTTTTTAAAAAATAAATTGAAGATTTTATCTGTTGCCTCCCTACTATGAAAATGAGAATTTGATTTCTATTCTTTTCTCTACTCCAAACTATCATTGTCTAATTTTTAGATCTTCTTTCCATGTTTAAACTTTTATTGTTGAATACAATAAAAACATAGAAAGCTACATAAAACAGACATGCAGGTTAGTGAACTATTGTAAGGCCAGTACCCTTGAAACTCTCTGTGTCAGGAGACAGAAACTTCCCAGGGGGCCCCTAGGAACATCCATGTGCCTCTTCCCCTCTAAAAGAAACCATAATCCTGACTTAAGGTTTTGGTAATTTCATTTTTTTTAAGTTTTATATTCCTAAATACTATAGTTTAGTTTTACCTGTGTTTTTAAATGTCTTCTTTGTCTCTTAAATCCATTGATTTTTCTTCTTTCTCCTTTTTTTTTCCTTGAAATTCATTTCTTGTGACAACTGTATCATTTGTTGTCTGGAGTTCCCCATATCAATTTTGTGATTGCATTCCCATAGTGTACTGTGGAGTTTTCTGTCTTCTGTATTTGCTGTAAATTGGTATTTGGATCTAGAGGTTTAATCAGAACCAGGCTCCATTTGTCTTTCACCAAGACTTCTTCATAAATAGGTATTAGATTCCTTTTCAGAAGATGGATAATATGTAGCTGTCCTTTCTGTGATGTTAGCTGCTATTGATTCTTAGTGCATAGATCTGTTAGTTCTAATTAGGGTTGCAAAATGGTACAATTCCAAACAAAAGGAATTTCTTATATATTCTAGATATTTTTTAATAAGATATTTTAAAATTTTTATGTATTTTTATTTTGGGGGAGGGAGGTAATTAGGTTTATTTATTTATTAGTTAATTAAATAATTTATTTAAATGGAGGTACTGGAGGTTGAACCCAGAACCTCATGCAATCTAAGCATGCACTCTACCACTGAGCTGTGCCCTCCCCACTCTATATTCTAGATATTAATCTTTTGTCTGTTATGTGTATCACAAACACCTTCCCTGACTCTGTGGCTTTTCATGTTTTTTTGTTTGTTTTTACAGTATCTTAATGAACAGAAGTTCTTTACGTAAAGTGCATAGTTTACCAGTCTTTTCCTTTATGGCTAATGCATGTTGGGTCTTGTTTAAGAAATCCTTTGGTCATCAAGAAAATTAATTGTATAATTTTTCCTTTCACATTAAGGTTTTTCATTGATGTGTAGTTGATTTATTTGCATATGCATACGAATTCTTCGCATCATATGGACGTGTAGTTCCAGTCCCATTTACTGGGGAGTCGGACGCGCCCAGTCTGTTACTCTTTTATGCCTGGGTCTGTTTTCTGGACTTTGCTCTCCTTGTTGCTCATTTTGCCTATCCCAATGCCTGAACCACACGGTCAGGATTATTACAGTTTTATAAAATGCATTGATCTCCTATCTTTTGCTGCTTTTCCAGGAATGTCCTAGCTCTTCTTCTTTGTATTTCCACAGAAATTTTAGAGTCAGCTTGTCAGTGTAAAAAAAGAAACTTTTTGGAATTTTTATTCTACTGACCCTATATGACTGACTGACAATCTGGGAAGAATTGACATCTTGTTACCAAGTTTTTTAATCTTTAAATTCTTTAATCTTTAAATCTATATTCACTTACTTGTCATTTTTAATGTTTTTCAGTAAACCTATTGTTTCTCCATAGAGGTCTTACACAATTTTATTACATTTATTCCTAGATACTTCATATTTTTATTAATTTTAAAGTTCTTTATTTATAGATTCTTTTCGATTTTTTTATATTGATAATCATCATCTTCAAGTGAAAGTGTTATTTCTTCCTTTCTAATCCTTAGAATTTTTTTTTTCTTGTCTGACCTCCAGCCACTGTTGTTGAATGAAGTGGTAATGATGAATATTCTTCTCTTGCTCCTAATCGTAAAGGGAAAGTTTTGAACATTTACCTTTTAAGTGTGGTTTTTGCCTTCAGCTTTTGGTAAACACTCTTTGTCATATTAAGGAAGTTCTCTTCTATTCCTACTTTGCTAAGAGTGTTTATCATGAATGGGTACTGAATTTGATCAAATGCTTTTTTTGTACTATTTAGATTATCATATAGTTTTTCTCCTTCAGTCTAATTGTGGTGAAGCATAATAATTGGCTATTGTTACACTAATCTTGCATTCCTAATATAAATCCAATTTTGGCATGTTTTATTATCCTTTTACTTCATATTGCTTAATTCAGTTTGCTAGTATTTTAAGAATTTTGTGCCTATGTTTATGAATAAAAGTAACCTATGATTAGGGGGAGAGTATAGCTCAGTGGTTGAGTGCCTGCCTAGGATGCACAAGGTCCTGGGTTCAATCCCCAATACCTCCAATAAAATAAATAAATCTAATTACCTACCCTCAAAAAATAAAACCAAAAAAGCAGAAGAGAAGAGAATTAAAAAAAGAAAAAGTAATCTATGATTTTTTTTTGTTCTTTCACATTTTGCTATTAAGATTATGCTAGCTTCATAGTGTGAATATTTCCTTTTTCTATACTATGGAAGAATTTTTGCATAAGATTAGAGGAATTATTTATTCCTTGACTGTTTGAAATAATTGGCTGGCAAAGTCATATGGGTCTCTCCTAGGAAATACTGACTACCAGTTTAATGTCTTTCATAGTTACAGGGCCTGTTCAGGTTTTCTCTTGTTGAGTTAGTTTTGGTAAATTACCTTTTTCTAGAACGTTTTCCATTTCATCTAAGTTCTCGCATATTTTGTATGAAATTATTCATTTTAATGTGTGAAGCATATTTAGTTCAGTCCTGTTTTTTGTTCCCTACAATGTTTACTTATGCCTTATCTTTCTCATTTTAAAATACTGATCAGTCTCACCAGAGGTTTTTTTAATTTACTAGTCTTAAAAAAAAAACTATTGGCTTTGTTAATCTGTTATAGATCATTCATTTCTTTTATCTGTATTTTCTTTTAAAATTTTTCTTTACGGTTTATTTTATTGTTCTTATTCTAATTTCTTGAAATGGGTAGTTACCACATTCGTTTTCAGGCTTTTTTTTTTCACGTATGCATTTGAGACTGTAAGTTTCTGTTTAAATTACTGTTTTAGGTGCAGCCCTTAAGTTTTGAAGGAAGTGCACTGGCTTATTAGGGCTGCCAGAATGCACCTCAGACTGGGTGGCTTAAGCAGCAGAAATTTATTTCTCACAGGTCTGGAGGCTAGAAGCCCTAGATTGAGGTGTCAGCAGGTCTGGTTCCCTCCAAGGTATTTTCTCTTGGGTTGCTCATGTTGCCTTCTCACTGTGTCCTCGCGTGGTCTTTTCCTACGTGCGTGCGTTCCTGGTGTCTCCTTGTGTGTCAGATGCCAGTCAGACTGATCAGGGCCCACCCTGATAGCCTCCTTTTTACTTGGTCACCTCTTTAAAGACCCTGTCCCAAGTAGAGTCATATTCTGAAGCATGGTGAGGGTTAGGGCTTCAACATATTAATTTGGGAGGAACATAAGTCAGTCCATTACAAGGAAGCATTTTTATTATTCAGTCCAATGAACTTAGATTTTCATTATGATTTCTTTTTGTGGGCTTTTAGAAATGCTTTATTTCCAAATAGAATGTATTAATTTCCTATTGCTGCTATAACAAATTACCACAGATTTAGTGACTTAAAAGAATACAAATTTATTTGGAGGCCACAGTCCTAATATCAAGGTTTTGACAGAACTCTGTGTTTCCTCTGGAGGCTCTAGGAAAGAGTCCATTTCCTTGCATTTTCCAGCTTTTAAAGGCTGCCTGCATTCCTTGAATTAGGGCCTCTTCTCCATCTTCAAAGTTAGCAGCATAGCATCTTCACCTCTCTCTCTCTTTCTCTCCTCTGTTTCTGTCATCATGTCTCTTCTCTGGCTGTGACCCTCCCACCTCCCTCTTATAAGGATATTTATAAGGGGCCAACCAGGTAATCCAGAATAATCAAGATCTTCAACTTTATCGTACAGTTTTGTGTGCAGTGTGCTTTTTGTATGTAAGGTTGATCTTAATAGTTGCTAAGAATTAGGACGTGAATATCTTTGGGGAACCATTATTCTGTCTACCACAGTAAGTTCTCGGGTTTTTAAAAAATACCTTACTAATTTCTAGCTGTTTGCATTTTGGTCAGTGCTCTTGTGATTTCAGTCTTAAGAGATTTGTAGAGTTTTCCTTTATGACCCTGAATATTGTTAAATACTGTAAATGTGCTTTATGGACTTGAATGCATGTATGTGGTCATCAGTTGCATGAAGTGTTCTGTGTATCTCCATTAGTTCCTGTTTGTTGTGTTGCTTAAATTTTCTTTATCTTTACTTTTTGTTTGCTTATTTTATCACTTACTGAGAGAAATGGTTAAAACATCTCACTTTGTAGATTTAGCATTATAATTCTGTCAGCTTTTGCTTTATTTTTTCTTTTAATTTTTTATATCAACATTTCAGACTTACAGAAAAGTTGCTAGAATAATACAAAAAATTTCCTGCACATAGTTCACTATGTTCCTGAGATGTTAACGTTTAACCATATTTGCCTTATCCTTCTGTCTCTGTGTGTTTATCAGTTTTTTCTGAAGCATGCACACCTGATGCCTCTTTATCCTTCAGTTTGCATTTCCTAATAGGTCCATAATGAAATAACAAAAATAGGAAATTAACATTAATGTAATACTGTTATTTAACCTGATGTTTAAATTTTCCCCGTTGTCACAGGGATACCCTTTACAGAAAAAATACTGGATCATGCATTGCATTTAATTGTCCTTTAATCTTCTTTAATTGGGAATAATTCCTTTTATGGTCACCTGCAAAGACAGATGGACCTCTGCGTAAAATTTGAGTTGGATTTCAAGAATGATGACCCCCACTACACATACCAGGAGAGTTTGAAAAGTTTTATTAACTTACATAATTGAGGTCTCTGGGAAGAACAGGACAGTCCTCTCAAGCAGGTTTGAAATGACTTGAAAGGGCAAGGAAAGGAGCCTGGCCTGGGTTTTTAGTGTGCTTTGGGCTAGGGCCAGACTGGGATTCCTGCACAAGAACCTTGTGTAGTTGGAAACGCCACTCGCACCATGGAGGAAGCACTGAGGCTTCTGTGTTTGCCCAGATGAGGGGCACAAGGGGAAGTGGGAGAGGTGAGGCTTAACAGCTGTCAACAGTTGGACAAAAAATGGAATCAGACTCCTCATTATAGGTCCTCGCTCTTTATCTTTCGTGACCTTGGCATTTTTGAAGCGTATAAACGAGTTAACTTGTAGAATGTCTCCCAGCTTGTGTTTGTCTATTGTGTGCTCATGATTAGATGATCACTTTGGGACATTTATGTGTCTTAATATATAAATATACATTGTTATTAGGTGCATACAAGTTCAAAATTCTTATATTTTCCTGATGAACTGAATTTTTTATTACAATGTGTCCCTGTTTATCTTCTTAATGCTTTTTGTTGCCTGAAAGAATATTTTGTCTATATTAATGTAACTTCATCAACTTTCTTTTGGTTAGAATTTGCCTGATGAAAGTTCATACTTTTCACCCTTTCTCTGTACTTATTCTAGATATTTATCTCTTATAAATATAGCATATACTTAGACTCTTTTTTAAAAAATCTAGTTGACAATATTGATCTTAAGTGGAATATATAGTCTGTCTGCATTTAAAATAATTACTGAAATATTTGGATTTAAATTTACCATCTTATTTTGTGTTTTCTGTTTGACTCCTCTGTTGTATGTAATATGCTAATCTCATTCTGTTCAAAATATTTTCTAATTTCTTTTGTGATTTCTTATATGGCTCCAGAGTTACTTGGATATTATTCAATATCTAAATAATTGGGAACTTTATCTTTTTACTGATTTCCAACTTAATACTGTTGTGGTCAGAGGAAATATTTAGAGTGATTTCTGTCCTTTGAAATTTGTTGGTTTGCCCAGCATGTGGTAATTTTTGGTAAATGTGCTATGTACATATGAAGAAAAGTAATTGTTGTTGCTGGCTGCATTGTTCTAATATATCAATTAGGTCTAGTTTGTTGGATGTGTTCAGATTTTTCCATATCCTCTCCAAGTTTTTGTCTGCTTGTTTTATTAGTTACTATACAAGGGTGTTAATTCTTCCACTGTAGTTATGGATTTGCCCTTTTCTTCTTTTAGTTTGGTCTATTTTACTTTGTATATTTTGAAACTAAATTGTTGGATGTATTTGCATTTATGATTGTCATCTCTTCCTTGTGGATTGGCCCTTTATCACTATGAAAGGTGTCTGTTCGAGATAGTAGCATTATTAGAGATAAAATCTTTATCTGATACTGGTAATAGCTACAGCAGCTCTCTTTTGGTTAGTATGTCGTCTTCCACTATTGTAGCCAAACATTTCTGTGTCTTTAAGGTGTGTTTTTTGTAAGCAGTACATTTTTAGCATGTGTGTTTTTGTAAATCCAGTCTGATCTTATTCTTTTCAGTGCAAAGTATTTAATCCACTTGAATTGATATATACCATATTGCTATTTGTTTTGTTTGATTTTTCCAATTTACATCCTTTTCTCTGATTCATTTAAAACTTCATTATTTCACATTTCCCCTATTCTTAGTTACACTTTTTTTTAACTGTCCTTTTAGTGGGTACCTTGAAAATTACACCATATGTGCTCAACTTACTACAATCTAATACAAATTATAACTTTTACCACCTTCCAGATACTAAAACAAACAACATTTAAATACTATTCACTATCTATCTTTTTTTGAATTATTGATGTCATTTGTTTTGATTCTGCATATCTTTTAAATCCCACAAACATTTTAACTTTTATTTTATAATATCAGTACCTGCATTTCGGTATTTCCTTTTGGGATAATTTTTCTTTTACCTGAATGAATATTCCCTTTACTATTTATTTTAGTTCAGGTCTACTGGTGATAAGTTCTGCCTTTTTGTCTAGATATATCTTTATTTCACCTATATTTTTGAAGGACTTTTTTGTTTTCCCTTAAAAAAAAAAACTACACTGTGTCAGTGTTTTTGTTTTTCATTTGAAGGTAATATGGTCCACCTCCTACTACTTCAAGAATTTTTTTTTACTCCAGTTTTTAGCAGTTTGACTGTTAGGATGTGCCATGGTGTGGTTTTCTCTGTGTTTATACTTGGGGTTCTCTGAGCTTCTGATTCTGTGTATTGACATCTTTTATCGCTTTGAGAAAGTTCACAGCTATTTTCTCTTCAAATATGGCTTCTGCCCAGTTTCTGTTTTGTTTTAATTGTTGGCATTTTATTTTGCTTTCAAGTTCAGTGCCAGTGATAATCACATTTAGCGTTCCATTGTGTGTGTGTGTGTGTGTTAGGGGGCTTCTTTGTTTTGGTTCTGCTATTTTTAATATTTTACTTTCTGCGCCTACATGTCTAAGGCTTCTGTTTGAGACCAAAATCCTTGGGGTCCTCCCATGCTCCAAGTCACACTTAATAGTTAGTGTTTCTCCCCCCTCCCCCACCTCCAGCTTTATTGAAGTAGGATTTAATAGACCAAAAAATTGCACATAATTAATGTATACATTCTGATGAGTTTGGACATATGCATATACCTGTGATATCACCACAGTTAAGGTTATAAACATATCCATCAACTCCAAAAGATTTCTTATATCCCCTTGTTTTCATTTTCATTTTTTGTGGTAAGAACAATTAACATGAGATCTATCCTCTTAACAAGGTTTTACACGCACAGCACCATGTTGTTGACTGATTCTGTCCAATTCTTTCCTCTCTTTCTGGGCCTCCAGTTACACTAATGTGGGATCTTTTCACATGTCCCTTACACTCTTTTTGTTACTTTTCATCGTTTATCTCTCTGCTTTAGTTTGTATCTTTTTTATTGACCTTTTTATCTTCCAATTCACTCACTCCTGTTTCTTCAGTTAAACCCATCTGTTGAGCCATTAATTTCAGTTAAAATAATTTTTAGTTCTAGAATATTCATTGATTTCTAAAAAATAAATTATAATCCTGTAGTAAACTGCTCCATCTTAATTTTTATTTTTTCCCTCCACATTCTTGAACGTGTTAACTATCATTACTTTAAAGTCCTTATTGGCTAGCTCCAATGTCTAGATTATGCATAAATCTGTTTCTGTTGTGTTTTCCTCTCTAGACAGATAAGAGTGAGGGTTTATCACCTTAATCCGAAGAGTGAGCCAGGCTGAGGCTTAGTTGTGGTTTTGGAAAGGCTTGATCTGTGTCTGGTTCTCCCTGTGCCTGGAGTATAGGCTTTCTAGGGCTTCTGACTGTAAGCCTGTTGGGCTCACCTTTACTCTGAGGATGCAGCCTTTTGTGTTCCCAGCTAATGAGGGTACAGTCTTGTATGAAACTCCCCACGTTAAGCAGAAGCTGGATATTGACACCTGTGCACCTTTGCTGCACAAAGCCATCAAAGCTCCAGTGTTTTGCTTAATTCTCTGGAGCATTTCATCACCATCTTGTGAGCTCTTTCTGTGCTTCAGGGTGATTTTTAAAATTCTGTACCAGCATTTTTAGATATTTTTTTTTAATGGGAGACTTGGCCCGATTACTGGAAATGGAAATTTTTGTTTCTCATCATATTTTATGTGATTATTCTCACTGCATTGGAAAACCAAAATTTTATGTACTCAGATCAGTCTGTCTTTTACATTATACCAGCTTGATTTTGTGCTATTCTTAGGAAAGTTTTCAGCTTTTCAAAATTATATTGTATTTCTGTTTTTAACATTTAGCTATTTAATGTGTCAGAATTTATTTTTGTGAATAGTGTAAAGTTAGGATTTAACTATT